GGAATGCAACAGTGATCCGGGGCAGCTGACCAGAGTCCCCTCGTGCAGTTATCCTGCAGTGTTTTGGTACATCTCTGTTCAGCCTACCCAAGGCTATTTAGTTTCTAAACCTGGGTCAGAATTGTTGATGGGACTTACTTGCTTGAAGGCAGGAAACTGTCTTTGTGCCCCTTAGAATCTGACAGGTCTTAACAGAAAGGAGAAATAAGGGCTCTTACAGGCAGTCTGTAATTGTCTGAATAAAGCTCTATTTTGACATGAGATTTTTTTTCCAGAATTTGAGCTGATTGTCACTTGGGATTAGAGAAAAGTGGCCTTAAGGATCTGGCATCCTCTCAGTGGTTACAATGCTAAGCAGATTATTTGCAAGTATCTGACAAGTTTAGACCAATTCTCTTCCTCGGTCTTCTGGCAACTTGACCTGGTGTCTTCCATTGTGATCAAATGCATTTCTGTAGTGACTGGCTGCTTGGCTGCAGGATAAGTTTTGATACAGTAATTTTTTCCAGGCATACTTCGTTTTGATGCCACACTTTTTTTTATTGTTGTTATTCCCTTGTTCACTTCTGGTTTGGGGCGTGGTATAGGTTTTTGGAGGGGTATTTTCTGTTTGAGTTTTGGTGTTGTGTCCCGTTTTCCCCTTTTCCCTTCCCACTTGGATTAGGAAATCTTTCTGGTTTGGATCTAGGCTTTTGTAATGAACGGAGAAATGCCTTTGTATGCCTTACAAAAGGGATCAGTATTCATGTCTGAAAAGACTGTTGGAATGTTGGCACGCCCCAGACACCTCTTCTGCTGCTGCTGATGGCCCCAGGAAGGCCAGAGCTACTGCCAAAGCTGTTAGGTTGCCACACAAGTTCAAGCCTCTCTCTTCCCTGAGAGCTGCTGGCAGCGTTTCACATGTGTGCACGCACTCTCTCACACGCTCTCTCTCTCTCCATATATATTTTAGTTGTTCCTTTATATCCCTGCAAAGATACGTGCTCGTCACAGAATTGGAGAACTGACAGTCAAAATTTCCACTGTCTGGGCTATTAAAAGGAAACATTAGAAAATAACAATCTAAATGAGTTCTTCTATTTCAGGTCCTTCTGGCTTAGTCATCATTCCTTTATGGATGTTGTGACTGTTTCTTATGTATGTCCTTATCATTGCTGCTCTTACTAATGCAGCTTTTGCTGTTTAGAACATCAGGTATCTACCAGCATATTTAGCAACTTGTGAAACTTCTTTTTTCCCCCCATATTCCAATTAGAAAGTGTCACTTCTAGGACTGATGTACTGGCTATAAATAGCTTGAAACAATTAGTTGATAAGTTGATTTTTTTTTTTCCCATTTTTTCCCTTTTTTTTCTTCCCCCTTCCTCAACCTGTTAAGCTCTGCCAGCGTTTTGACCGGCCCTAAATTCAGTACTCCTGCATCCAATGGTCTGTCTTCAGGAAGAGACAGTTGTGGTGGCAAGATGAGAAGGAAAGAAGGAGGACACTGTATGTCAAAACCTGGACAAGAACGATGGGTAAGGGACCCAGGTTAATTGCTGTCACTGAGATAACTGAAGTAGCTCACTTAAGTATGCCAGTTTTAGTGCCTCATAGTAACTTATAATAATGCCACTTCAGTTTTGTGGAGGATTTGGTGTGCGTTTCAGGGCAGGCTCCATTTTTTTAATCTGTTGGCTCAATCTTCAGTTTTATATTTTTGAAGTCTTCAGTCATATTAGCTTGGAGATGCTTCGTACTATAAAGTTTCTCATTAGCAGTTGAAGGAATGAATTTTGGTGGAGGTTTGTGGAGTTTTTATAAAGCAATGGTGTTTGAAATAAGTGCCATGTAAGTAAACAAAGTTTGTTTAATGTGTTGTTTCATATTTAAGCCCCATAGGAAGACACAGGCCAAGAGTCTGAAGCAGAAGACAGTGTTCTGCATGTCTGCTAATGGTCATTCACAATATTTGGCACTTAATCGAACTCATTGTGAGAGGAGTTTTTTTCTTGTTTTAATGGGAAAAGTCTGTTTAATAAATCTGTGGTCATGACTATCCCGAAGATTATTTTTCTGATTGGATGTTATGTAAGCTGCCTACTACTACTGGATCTTATATAAAATTTTAAATCAGTCTTCTGCCTGATGTGAAATGAAGGAACAGTAAATACTGGAGATTGTTTCTATAATATAAATGGTCTGAATATCGAGGTCCAATAGACTCTTCAAATCGAAACAGTGAAATAGATGTAAGATGTAATATACATTAAATTTCTGTAGTAGGAGCTTATATCTCTGCTTAGTTACTTCTGGGTAGATCTTGGGACCACTGTGCAAATTGTGATTAGACTGGCTATTCCCATTTAAACCCTAGCTAATGAATCTGATCTTGGTAATCAAATAGTATGAAAGGCAAAGACCAGAAGTTTTTAAGGTACACTGGTTTCTGAGTTTTAAATTTGCGTCCTGATACATGGTATAGACTAAATTTATCAGAGTACGATCTTCTGTGCTTCTAGTCCGGCTTTCTTTTTTGGCCTTTGGTGGTTTGGTTGGGGATTTTTGGTACTGTTAAGGAACCCACATACTTCTTTAAACGTTACCTTTTTTCAAGTTCACTGCAGTAGTGACTTCACAGACTTTGGCAGCTGTCCTGCCTGATTTTGCAAGAGGAACAGGTTGATTTGTTTTGAGAATGTACTTTTCATTGAAGAAGTGAGAGGATGATTAGAAAGGATGGTGTTTCTCTAGATCTTTAATAACTGAAGTACAGAAACAAAAATAAATCTGATCTGTCCCGCTCTGGTCTGCACAGTGGTAACAATTTTGCTCTGACTTCCAGTATTTGTACCGCACAGGAGAGGAGTATAGTGTCACATGGAAGCAGGCCTGCCATAAGTTAAAATGACCTGGCAGGCTGAGGTGGGGAGGTTGGGATTCCTTTGGAAAACTTCCTTTGTCTTAATCTATAGATCTCTCAGCTATATTTCAGAAATTAAAGATGGAACAGGGTAGGAAAGTAGTAAATCTTATAAAAGAGAAAAATAAAATTTACACCTGCTTTTAAAGAAAGACCGATTAAAATTTACAATGATTGCAATTCACACCTAGGAGGTGGAAGAACCTGTACTGCCGAAAATACCCCTCCCCATCAACACTGCATCGCTGCCTTCGTTCAACTTCAATTTCCTTGCCAGTACTACTGCCTCATCACCAAGCACTGTTTCAACAGCAGTGATGAACAAGGTAAACCTTTGTTGTATGTCCCGAGAGCTTCTTTAGGGTGAGTAAGCAGCAGCTTTGTTGTGTGTTAACTTCTTCTGTGGTGCTCATGAAACTAGCCAACAACTGTTTATATCCTCTTGAATAAATCAGGGGTGTATTCCAATTTGGAGGGGAGGCATCGAGTTTTTGGATCGGCCCCTGTCAGTCTTACACTTGCCAAACTTCTAGTTAACCTAATTGTGAAACTGTTTCAAATGCTATAGAAATCTTGAGATTTTATACCAAGTGAAGTTAGGAAAATAGGGGTAGCATTAATGGTCATATAAACCTAGTGTAGAAGATGAACCCAGGGTGAGACCCCACCTGGAGTACTGCATCCAGCTGTGGAGCCCTCAATATCAGAAGGATATTGACCACTTGGAGCGAGTCCAGAGGAGGGCCATGAAGATGATCAGAGGGCTGGAGCACCTCTCCTGTGATGAAAGGCTGCGAGAACTTGGCTTGGGCTTGTTCAGCCTGGAGAAGAGGAGGCTCCGAGGAGACCTCATTGCAGCTTTCCAGTATCTGAAGGGGGCCTACAAGGGTACTGGGAGAGGACTTTTTACAAGAGCCGGTCTGTAGTGAGCCTGTAGTGATAGGACAAGGAGTAATGGGTATAAATTGAAATCAGGGAGGTTTAGATTAGATGTCAGGAAGAAATTCTTCACAGAGAGGGTGGTGAGGCACTGGAACAGGTTGCCCAGAGATGTTGTCGATGCCCCATCCCTGGATGTCTTCAAGGCCAGGCTGGATGTGGCTTTGAGCAACCTGGTCTAGTGGAAGGTGTCCCTGCCCATGGCAGGGGGGGTGGGACTAGATGATCTTTAAGGTCCCTTCCAACTCCAACCATTCTATGATTCTGATTCTATGATTGGCATATCACTGCAGTAGAATAAACATTCATCTGTTCCAGATTGTGTGAAATATTTCTGTATGTTGTGAAGCTTTAACATGGTGAGGTATTTCCTGAAGCTCTGACTATGATTGAGCGGAGTTAATTGAAGGTTCTTAAGCCGCCTGATCTGCTTTTCCATATATTGGCTATATTTAGATCCAAGTAGCATCTCAGTGTTTTCTCTTGGTTTATGGGATTTGGTTTTGATGATGCGGTACTATATGCTCCCTTGCAAGCTTCATTTGCTTTTCTTATAACTCTTATCTGTGGATTAGAAATAAGTATCAAACATCAGATTTTCCAACTTCACTGCAGAACGTCTGTCAGATAGGGAATTCAGGTAGCTGCCCTGGTTTCATCAGGGTGTTTTTCTTTTAGATACAAACCTTAATTCTTTTGAAAATACAGGTACAACCAGGAAGGAATGCTGGGAGCACTGTGTTCAGATTTTCACCTCCAGTTGTGAAGTCTACTGCTGTGGAAGTGGCATCTCCATTGTCTGTAAGTAAAATCAATAAAGCCTTTCGTAGAATATTGCAGACTAAAGCAGAATTGGCCCTGATAATGGGGAAAACAAATGAAAAGGTTTCTGTCTTATAATTTGTCATCCAATATGTATACCGGGAGTTTGAAGAGTGGATTTCGTATTACTTATTTGTGTGTGAAATTTGCTTAAATTTTCTTTAGTTTTGGTATCTGAAAAATCTGTTTTGGTTGTTTTTTGTTTTTTGTTTTTTTTTTTCTTTCATAGCAGATGGGGTTTACATTTAGTGTTCCGACTGTAAAATCAGCAGAGCTTTCTGGATCCAGTAGCACACCAATGACATCCGTGCTTCCTCTAGGTAACAAATTTTAGCATTTCAGCTCAGAAATTCAGATTTTTTGTTCGCAATTCCAGGCAAAGTGTGTTTTCAGTGACAGATCTGCTTTTAATCAAATTGTAATTATAAACTGTTGTAAACAAGGTAGAATTCTGTAAGAATCACAAAAGTTGGAAATTGTTGTTTCTAGTGAGTGTGAATATATTTTAAGTGGATTTCTTTGTGAAAGGTGTGTTTTGCTTTGTTTTTAAAGATACCACCACTGTCAACAGCACCAGCAATAAGAAGGAAGAAAAAGAAGAATATGATGGTCCCCTCAAACCTGCAAAGGTCTTAAAGGAAGGAAGTGTGTTAGACATTCTAAAAAGCCCAGGTGAGATGATAAACTCCTTTTAAAAAAGATACTGCAAAATACAGGGAAACATGTGACTGTGCTGATTTTTACAAAAAAGTCTGCACAGCCGCAACAACAAAACCCCCCACCCCCCCCCACCCCCGGTTGGTCTTGTTTTTTGTTAAAATTGGAACCTTTAAATAAGGAGTTGGCCTGTGTCCAGCGCACTTTGAGCAAAAATTTTTGGCAACAGTTTTTTCATTTTTATTACTTGCTTAATACTCAGTGTCTGTGGGGAAATATCGCTCCAGGTGCTAACTGCTGGGCAGCTGCTAAAGTAAATGTGAATCATCTACTGTGGCAGAAATAGCTTTAGAAATTTGATTTGATTGGGCACGGTGCCTTAAAATGAAATTGGTTGGTTTCTAGTGCATGACAAGACAGTCAGCTTTTCGTTCCGTTTGTTCACATCCCTGTCTACCTACCAGAGAAGATTCGTATTTAAAACTTTCTTGGAAATTGAGAGTTAAATCAAGCTTTAAATAAATGTTCTGTTGTGTCCCAGTGCAGCATGTGAAATTTCAGCCCTTCAGATAAGATTTCCAGGGACTTCCTCTTGCAGTCAGTGGAAATGTGGGGTTGTAACCATTGGCACTTGGTCTAAATTGATGCCGTCTAGTGTTACAACTAACCTGCATGTGGTGAGGCTACTGCTTTATTGGTATGATCTCTTTCTATGTCTTATCTAGGCTTTATGTCTGTGAAAACACACTCCTCTACATCTGCACAACCTATTACAAGCACAGTGGTCTATACAAGGCCTGCAATAAGTAGTTTTTCTGCAAATGCTTCTAAAGATGCATCCTCATTTTGGCAGCCTGACACATATGACCCGTGTCTGCAAAACAAAACCACAGATGGCAAATGTGTAACATGTCAAGCTGCTAAAGTGTCCACAGTTGAGAGTACGAAACAGACTATGAGCTCAAGTCCATGTGTCGCCTCTAAGGCAGCAGTCCCTACAGCAGGAGTATTGGCCTTTGAAGACAAATTTAAAACAGCGCCCACCACATGGGATTGTGATACCTGTCTGGTCCAGAACAAACCTGAAGCTACAAAATGTGTAGCGTGTGAGACACCAAAGCCCGGAACAGGAGTAATGCCCGCTCTGACATTACCTGTGGTCACAGACAGCTCGGTGACAGCGACGTCCTCTTCCAGCAGCACTGACACAGCTGTCACTGTGGGGTTTGGAGACAAATTTAAGAAGCCAAAAGGCTCTTGGGACTGTACGGTGTGCCTTGTGTCAAATAAGGCGGAAGACAGCAAATGTGTAGCTTGTCAGTCTGAGAAACCAGGTCAGTTCTTCTCTTTTCTGTTGTTTCAATCTCTGCCTCTACGTTCTTTATTGACTAAAATGCATTGCATATGTAAAATATTTTCAGCAGCATGGCTGTGTGCTGAGCAGGATGGATCAGTGCCTGTCTGCAGGAATAGTTACAGGCACTTGGATTCCAGCCTCTCATGTGAATTGAACCGATTGTGAAATGTATTAGTGCAGAGCTGAATTGAAGCAACTGTATTATACTATAGCAGTGGGTGAGGAGAGATGACTGAACAGGATGCCTTCGTTAACCTAAAACCAACTTACTCGTTTTCATTGGGGAAGAATGTGAACTCCATAGAAAGAGTGAAAAATTATGTGGTGGTGTGGGATTTTTATTCTTGTGGGTTTTTTTTTTTTCTTTTCTTTTTTTTCTTTCCCCCCCAAAACATAAGTAGAAATGTTATTTACAGGACTTGGCCAAAAAAGGTCTTTACTCAGCATTTGTGTGCGGTCGAGCCGTGCTTTGATAGAGCGTATTCTTTAACTAGTCATCTTAAGCGAAGGTAAAACCCTGTGTTTGGTGAAGCCTATGAAGGCCAGCCGTAGCCTTCCAGAACAGGGCTGGCCTTGTCTCGGAAGGTCACGGTCCTTCCAGGCCCTGGGGAGGTGGGCACCACAGGCAATGCGGTGCTGGCTTGTTTCCATTATGTGTGACTGTAATGGATTTTGGGTGCAGTAAGTATTATTTTTAAGGTACAAATTGAATTGGCCCTTGACATCAATTAATATACTGTTATGTCAAAACCCACCTTGGCAAATGCGTGCTGGGGCAGAGGGGAGGGGGAATCTGAGACGGACTAGACTGTGCTTTGGTAATCATCCTGTACGGTAAGAGATGATGCCTTTCAGAGGGAGCTTATTCTCACGGAGTTTCTGCCTTGGGGTGATCAGCCGGTGCTTTTGTCTGAGCCTAGCCATTGCAAGGAGGAATTCTGGAAATGTGACAGGTTGGCCATGAGCATCCCGGTGCAGAGAATTGCACAGCTGTATTATATCTGTCGAGGGGTTGAGTGAGGCAAGTTAAATGGGAGGATAAAAATTCTCCGGATGTGCTGTGGAAGAGAAGACACGTTTTCCTGCGTGGAATTTCAGACGTTATCTTCTGCCTGTCTCTTAAATGCCACACTCGGTGGTTTAAAACTGTAGGTGAACATGACAGTTATGCTTTTGTGCCTTCTGGATGTCCACTTCGGTCCTCAGGCTTAACGGAGATGAAGTTTTCTGTTGGGGTGCAAGAGCATCAAGTGACAGCTCTTCCTCTACAGGGGAAGAAAATCAGGAGGCAAGCGCTGTCTTCCAAGCCTCTGGAGGTTGCTGATGATGATGATGACAGTGTAGCTTGAGTTGTGGTTCTGGAAGCTTTGAGTTCCTCTCTGGTTTTGGTTGGTTGTTTGGGGTTTTTTTTGGTCGTGGTGTAATTTTGAACATGTCTGTCCTTGGGATTTGGTGATGAATCATTCTGGTAAATTCTTAGCCTCACATCACTTGACAGGGGTCATTAACTTGAGCGGTGCTAACATTGGAACAGCTTTTTCTTGGTGCCATCTCAAAGCTTGTTGAGGAAAGGAAGCTTATACCGGGTAGTCAGCATGGATTCAACAAG